CTTCATTGATAACACAATTTTCAAACAACCAAAACAATGCTTATATACATGGACATCACCAGATGGAATACATGGAAATTAATCTGACTTTATTCTTGGTACAAGAACTGCTTAAGTGCCAAAGCCAAGAAAGACAAAGATCTCAGGAAGAATTTCAGAGAGCTATTAGACAAGACAAGAAGAAGAATTACAACAACATCTGTAAAGACATTGAAGATGGAAAGTGAAATGGAAAAACAAGGAAAATCTAAAAGATCTCCAAACTCAGAAAAAGGTTCCAACCCCAAATTGCTATGCTAAAGGATGCCAATGGACAGATATCAACTGATTCAAACAAGTTCAAAGATGGAAGGAGTATACTGAAATTCTGTACAGCAGAGATGTCAACATCCAAGAAACCTTAGCAGACATTCCTTATTTACAAGAACCTCTAGTACTATAAGATGAAGTTTGATCAGCATACCAAGTTGGAAGGCTATAGGAATGGATGGAATATATACAGAAATTTAGTAAGCAACAGAAGAAGAATTAGTAAAAGTTCTAACCAAATTATGCTAGCAATCTGGAGAATGACACAGTGGCCAACAGATTGGAAGAGCCAGTCTATATAGCAATACCAAAGAAAAGGGACTTAAGAGAGTGTGCAAACTATTGTACAATATCCTTAATTTCATATGCTAGCAAAATATTGCTTAGGATCATCTATGCATGGAAAGGGGGAGGCCAGATGTATCCTGGATAACTGAGAAAACCAAAGAATAACCAAAACAAAACAAAAAAAGGTCAGTATGTGCTTTATTGATTATAGAAAAGCCTTTAATTGTTTTGACATGTCAAGCTGTAGAATGTGCATAGGAAAATGGGAATCCCAGAACATCTCATTTTACTCATGAGAAACCTATACAAGAGATAGCAAATCACAATCTGGATGGAACGTGGTGAAACAGACTGGCTCCAGGTCAGCAAAGGAGTGAGATAGGCTTGTATATTCTCTCCTTATTTATTCAGTATATGCTAAATATACATTGAGGGAAGCTGGGCTAGACAGCAGTTTTACATTAAAAGAAGAAACACCCATAATCTCTGATGATGGCTGAAAATGCAAATGATCTGGAAGCTCTAATAATGGAAGTCAGGAAGCACAGTGAAAGAACAGGACTAAGATCAAATATAAAGGAAACCAAGCTAACAGGTACAGCAACCAGCCTTAGAACTGACAATGAAGATATTGAAGTCATGGGCAACTTCTGCCTTTTAGAGTTGCCTATCAACAGTAAGGGAACCAGTAGCCAAGAAACATATTTCAAACCAGCTCTTGGTAGAACAGCAATGAAGGCCTTGGAAAAGATATTCATATACCATGACACATCTCTCTGGAAGTAAAAGTTGCACTTTGAAGAAATAGCATAGAAAGAGTATTGAAACTTTTGAATGCTGGTGTTGTATACACAGATAGCCAAGAAAACAAACAAATGGCACACAGAACAAATCACACCAGAGTTCTCACTCAAAGCACAAATGACCAGGCTTAATTTATCATATTTTGAACAAATTATGGGAAGATGTAGCTCCCTGGAGAAGTCCATAATGCTAGGAAAGGTGGAAAACAGGAGAAAAAGGGAGGTGAACAGCAGCAAAGTGGATGGATTCGATCACTACAGCAATGTGTTGCACTGTTGGAAGACCTGAAGGGGACAGATCATTCTGGAGAACGTCTATGTAGTTGCTAAGAGATGACACTGACTTGATAACACACAATCAATAAATCAATTCTAAATCATTCGTACAAAAAGTGCTGATCATTAGCCACACAAAGCCCATGACAGCACGCCTTCAAAGTGGGTAGGACTCAAAAATGTGGCCTTTCCTTCACGTTTTAGAGGGATTTTAAGAGGCCAAATTGGTACCTTAAGCCATGCACAGGTGTAAGGCACACATTTAATCTCTTAAAAACCCAAGGCCTGTCCCAGAAAATTGCACCCATTTTGGGTCCAGACCCTGCCCATTTTCTATATGTGGCTCTCGCTACGCTGTGCAAAGCATGCTGTCCCTCAGACCAACAGGAACTGCCAATACCTGAACTTCATATCTAAAAGTACAACTCTTGTAGATTTTCACTTCTGCTTTTCAGGAACAGGCTTAGACAAAGGAGCAGAATTCTTGTGTATATAATAGGAGCATACTTGGAAACAGTATGGAGACTTGAACCAGTTGTTCTTTGAACCCTTGTTACATCACAAATGCTGCAGAGGGAAATCTACTTTCAAGAACAGCTACCTGTCACTGGCTCAGAGTTAAAGCTCCGGGGGGGGGGGGGGGGGGGGGGGGGGGGG